GCGACTAAATGGACAAAGCAGTTTAGACTTCTGAGTAACAGTGATTTACCAGACTGAAAAATTAAACAGATCTAAAGGGTTCCAGGGAAATCATGTTAAAATAAATGTAACATACCACTGTACACTCCTTTCCACATTTTTCTTACATACTCTACAGCAGCACATTTTGGTAAGAGCCAATTTCCCAAAGAAGCTATATGAGTCATTTATAGGAACTGCATACTGTACATAAAACTTACATATGACACTCCTTCAAACAGAGACTCCTAATAGCCTTTCACTGGAGTAGTCTTATCTCAAGGTCATCTATCTGAAAGGCTCTGTTACTGCCTAGCAAGTGGTTATACAGTATGTAATTTATAATCTGTCCATTGAGATTCAAGATTCTCTTTTTAAGAATTTCCAGTGGAATGAAGGACCTGCAAGTTGGGAGCAGGAAAAAACAGTTCTTATTAAAAGAGATTGTGTTCCATCTTGGCAATTCCTGGTGGTGTGAAGATTAAATAGGATAACTCAGAGGGGAATGACAATCGGAGCTGGAAGAGTAGATTAGCATGATCATTAGGGAAGCACAAGCTGTTCAGGTGGAATGCAAAATTTAACAACAAATGCATATCATTACAAAACGAGGCTCCCCTTCTAGGAATTACAATCAGTGCCACAACTTCACAGAGCTTTTCATTTTCTTTTCAAGCTTGTGTCCCTGTCCAGAAAAGTCAAAAGGTATCATACTCCAGACAACAATTGAGAATAATGAAAATGGAGAATTGAATCCTACTTATGGGTTCCATGTAACTGTAACCTCAAGCTTTGCAGAAACATTCTCAAAATATCAACGATATTACTATATCTTTCCAGCTAGACTGCTACCAGATAGACATGGCATCAAATTGTTCCTTTCCAAAAAGGACTTGGAATTCCAGATATCGGGTTTTCTATTTCGCATCACAGTGAGGACACTACAAGGGGCTACATTTAGTCCTAAAACATCTTACTAAAAAGGACAGGCAGCATTTGAAGTTGGACTAGCAGCAGTTTTCCTGTTTTTTTTTTTATTGAATTATCTTTTTGACAAATGACTTGCACTTACTAGAGCATATCATTGAGTAATAACAATATACCGACTGCTGACAAAATACTGTAGTAATGATAGTTAAAAAGTTTTGTTCTAAAGCTGTTGTTTCATTTAGTGATCTTACAAACTTGAGAGATCTTACCTAAAATGTGGTGTAGGTTTGTGTTCCTCTAGAAACATGTTTGGTTACAAAAAATACTACACACTTCACTTTACAGTAATGACAGGTTGAATTTGAATCTTAACTACTGAATTGCTGATAAATTTATCATATACACATACCTGAAGAAGGCTCCACGGCCGAAAAGTTGTGTTTTCTTTTTCTCTTTTCAACATGGAATAAACCTATTACTTGTTCCTTTGCAGCCTATGCATGCTGATGCAGCTACCCACCTGAACTACAATATAATTATACCTATAAATATACTATTATATACTGTATAATGTAATATACAGTACTATAATCTATATAGCAATGCTAGTACTGTATAAAATTTTAATACAGTAACAAACACACATTTATTGTAATGTTTTTGATAGTGAGGTATACTACACAACTAAAGTACACAACATGGGTGTTCCTGCTGTATTGAAATGTTTCTATTGAATTATACACATAATTCTTGTTTGCATATTTTTGCAATAAATCCATTAAAAATGACATAGTACTATACTATACAGATAATTGATTTAAAGACATTTGATTAGTTAGTAGAGGACTTTAAACGCTTGATAAAAAATTAAATTCACTGTTTTGAAAGGATAAGGTTTCAAAATAAGATTGTTATGTAACTAAATAAACTTTGACAAAGCAAGCATAATACAATGCTTACTTGTCTCATGTAACATGACAAACAGACATTAGGGAACCTAGTGATCTGGTTTCATTAAGTATAAGTGCACCTCAGTTGGGTGAAAGTGTTGCTCTTAAAACATTAATTAGACGGGAAGCTGGGTTTTCACATTTTTAGATTAAAATAAGCAAGCTGTATCTTCTTTAAATATACAATTGTAATTTGTAGGTGTCTTCAAATAAATGAGTTTCCATTTCATTTATTTCAAACATTTGTGCTGGTACCGCAAATAGGTTTCAGCAACTATTATTTATGCCCATTTTTATGTTTTATTAAATTTGAAATTAAAATATCCACCCACATAATAAACTGTTTTTAAATCTGCTAAACCACTTGCCGCCTCCTGTTAATTGTAGTAAATTATCCCCTCCCCCTGCAAATGAGAACATTTTGTTTAAGCTCCACTGGGAAATAAAGAATGAAAATTTAGAAAGATCATTTATTTTTAGGGCACCACTCCAGAGTCAAATTCTGCTGAAATCTGATGGACTACCAGAAAGAAAATAGAACATCTTAAATCACATGGGAGGACGACTTCTCTAAAGCATCAGATACTGATTATAAGATTATAACTTCTGACAGTGGAACCCAGAAAAGACCACCCCAGAAGTTGATCAAATACGAAAAAAATTAATATAGAATAAATATAAAAATGTTTAACAACAGCAATCCTATAGTGCCTGTTAAAGTGAATATTTTAGCAGAATATTCAGAAAACTATTTAAAAAAATACAAATATGGGGCCAGATGAAGCCAACAGAGCCAAAAGAAATCCAGACAACAGGTTAATATATTTTCTAACCCATTTAATTATATTAGTTAATGCAATACGTTAGGAGCCCAGAATACAAAAAAAAGAAATACTGAATGAGAACTGGGCTATTAGATTTTGTTTTTATGCTCAACATTGTAATAGAAATAATTGAATGTGCAGTTGGGTTTGCAGGAGTCGCACCTGTTCCAAAAGGAAGGTGCATGAACTGTAACATAAACCCTTGTTGTCTACAGTAGTATTTTAACCACATTCATTTTCTGATCTCCTTCTTACTCACTTATACTTAGCTGTCATGAAAGTACTGTACGTCACCAGTGGAGACAACTGGTAGGATACTGTTCTCAAACATAGTCTTCTAGAACCATAAACCTACCCTTTACAGTTTTATTGGTTAAACGACAGCCATGACAACTGAGTTCACCAGGAGTGCTCTGGGAGGTCTCCAACCTGGTCACACCACAGGCAACAAACCACATTAGACTACTTGTTGCTAAGTACATTAAGATATCAACTTCTCTAAAGACTGAGTCCCTGAATACTTCCATCTCCTTTTCCTAGAAAGAAGACAACACCACAGTACCCATCTACCCTTATTTTTTTCCGAAACTGGCAGCACAGAATTCATTATCCATGAAGCATGTGAACATGTCGGAAACTTGAAGCTCAGGGGATGTAGGCTGTATATGGTGGAGGGATCCAATCTAATAGTTTGGAGCGTCGTGCGAAACTGCTTGGTTTAAGATCCTCCTCAGCAAAGTAAAGAGCTGCAAACAGCAAATAACCTTTCACATAACTAATAATGCTATAAGACAAAGATAAAATAGCACATGAAGGCAACTGAGCTGTGAAAGTGAATGCCTGCCCAGCACATGAACATGATGTGATATGATCATTTGTCCTCATTACCAGGCACCACTTTCACCATCAACCTGACTTGCATGAACAGAACAATACAAGTTTTACATCACACTAACTAGAGGACACTCATGTAAGCAGATTCTTGCAACGTTAATTAAATGTGGGGTGTCAGAAGAATAATTTAGTATTGCATCTGGCTGGAAGACACGGACTTCCAGTTTAAATGTTAAAGACTTTCATAGTTGAACAATGGCTATCTGGTAAGATAATGTTTGTTTTTTAGACATAAGAGTTAGAGGTTCACAGACATCATCACCTACAAGCCCCTTTGGGGCTTTTCTTTAAACCATGGCATTTCTTCTGCAGAGTATAATAAAACTGCTACAATTATCCATTCTCAAAACTATATTATACTATCACATAATCTCGGCAAAACGTCTTTTGTACCCTAAGAATTAAACGTCTTCACCACTGTTCGGTTTTCTAATACTATGAAAAATGTCACTGATAAATTAATTTTCTCTTGAGGCTGTCAAATGGGTCCTTGCGCCTTATTTTCAGCCTAATTGTATATTTTCAGAAAGTAGACACAGATTCAGAATACTGAAATGACATACAGTAAAGCCCAATGGATTTAATCTGTGGTTACAGTGTTGTAGCTTGTGACACTACCAAAGCATGTTCAAAATTAACTGGGCCATGAACAACGAATGCAGAAATTTATAAAAGGTCTTTTTCTGCTGTCACGGATTATTAAAACAAACTACACAATAATGCAAGCACTTTGCTAAGGAATAAAAAGCTCTTTTTCTTTAGTTATTTATGGTTTTCAAGAACTTTAAGATGGAAAATTACAATAGGAATATGAGGATCTATGGAATAGATCTATTCATATATTTCACAAAGTTTCAATTAAAGCTGAAGCTTAAAGATTTTAACATAACATTGACAATTTAGGATCATTTGTAGCTCATTTTTTCCTTGTGCCCTGTATCAGGTTTAGAATTTTATTCATTGTAAAGACCACATTTTCACCTTAATAACTAACATCCTAAAAAGAAAACAGAGTCTTTAAGTATACTTCTTGGTGTTGCTTTAGATCTATAAAGATGTGCGTTTTGTTTAACCATTGATCTGCTGTCAATAAGCAATTCTTTGCGCATTAACTCCACTGTGTGAATGCTTGATAAAATGGAAACTTAGATGTGTTCTTGTGGCCAGCACTGATGCCATTTAGTTAAGATCAAACAGGGTTGTAGGCACGAAGACATCTGTAATTTGTAATAATTGCTTTAATGGCAACTTAAGTTTAACAGTAATAGCTTGGACTGAGCAGTTGCACAGTCAGGAAAAAAGGGCCGTGTGCCATCCTCGGCTTCAGTGAGAAGAGTTTCTAAGAAGAAGCCACAGTTGCAACCCATATCAGCAAACAGCCTACCTTCTGTTGGCGATGTTTTCAAGCGCTTGCAGAGCCCCTCAGTGTCCCCATAGTCCTCTTGGATTTTGACTACAGCCTCCGTGCCTCGCAGCTCCATAAGGGAGCGCAGATCTTCCAGAGAGCAGCCAAACTCTCCCGCATGGTTGGCCTCATTTCTTTGGTTCTTTATGTAAAAATCGCTATTTGTCATGTCCCCCATCGTGGCTAGTATTGCTTGTCGCTTTAGGTGAATTTGTTAAAAAAACAAAACAAAACGCTTCTTAAGTGATCAGTGGTATATAACAAATCAAGGGCTCTGTTTGAAAAAGGGAAGAAGAAATCCAGTTGATTGTCTGTAAAGGAAATATAATGAAGAATTCCTCTGGTTACAAAAAATAATAATAATAATACCATCCAGGAGTACCAAAAGCCCAGTTAAAGTCCAGAAGATTCCCACTTTCAAGGCTGCAGACCAGCTCCGCTCCATATATAGTTTCCCATTCTGGATGTCTCAGGTTGTGACTTTCTACATGGTCATCTTGTTCATTAATCCTTCAAAAGCAAGCAAAGAGAAGAAAAAACAAAGAATCAGGCTTCAACGCACTAACACAAAGGGCAGATGGTTCATCAAGGAAAAGACCAAGCCAATCCAAGAAGCCACATTGTGCCTAACGGGAGGCTGGGAGAGTGCAAGACTCTGGTGCAGCAAGAGGTTCTGCTGTGAGATGCTGCTCTGTCATTGCCAGAGCTGCCTTCTCAGAACTGTGTTAGTGCTGTCTGTGTCACATGCACTGCACTCTCCTCTCAGCAGCAGCGGCAGCAGTGTGCCATACTTCGATCAGTCCCGAGAGCAATAGCTCTGTGAGATGGCTCATGAATATTAATAGCTCAACCATTATGCCTTTCAGCCTAAGATGGGACTCTGGTTTTTCGTATAGTGAATTCAGGCTGCCGTATAAACTTTATCTTCTGGTAAAGAGAACAATTCACGCACAAAGGAATTCCACAGAGGGAAAATGAATAAACAGCATTGTAAATGAGCAACAAAAAAAAAGCAGGAAGAGACATCATTCTTTTTCCAGCAAACAACATAACATTTTAAAAGTGACGTATTTTGTTACGTATTTAATATTTTAAGTTTCAAACAATTTAGTTTATAATAAAAGTTTATTTAGCAGCCTTGTTCTAATGTTTAACATTTCCTAAACTCATTTCTAAATGTGGAACTGGATGGAAATTGTACTTCAGGTGCACAAAATAGTCCAGTCTAACTTATTTTTAGATAGACTTCTTCTCTTCAGAGCAAACCAGTGCACTTAAATTTAGAAACCAAGCAACACACTATAACTATAATTATGTCATCACATTTTTATGACAATGGTAAGGAATCAAAATGGGAAATACTGAAGCTTTCAATATTCAACTTTCTCAGAAGGTGTATATACAGTAATATGACTTTGACACTAGCCTTTTTTCTTCAAATGAATAAGGTTTTCTATTTTACATTACTTTAAAACAACCAGAGTTATCATATCTGCCTCTATTTATATACAGTAAGTGCTACTCAATAATACATTATTTGTGGAATCTATAATTATTATTATTTTAAATATAATTGCAGCCAACAACAATTTTGAAGCGTACCGTCTGTATTCACCACCCACCATAATTTATATAGTGTTGATTCCCAGAGGCATTGTAACACTCATCACAGCACAGAGCTCTTCAAACCAATCTAGAGTCATCATCTGTAGCTGTAAGTGTTGTGAATTTTCTCTGACCCATACCTGGAGTAAATAACTGCCCCCAGACCATATTCTTGAGACTTCCACGAAAACACAACAAAATGACCAACTTCACCCTAACATACTGTAACTGCTTTGATTCTAGAGACACACAGCAGGATTCTGCTTTCTCTGTTTTAGATTACATTACTATGCATACTGTTTTCACTTTAAAAAATGTATTATCCATGCACTATATGTTTCACCCCATTATCTTCTGTTTAAGCCTCAAGTTTGCAAGTGACTATGTCCCTAGATAGGCAGGAAGTAGTTAGATCTTTAAAGAACCTTATCTCTGGAGAGGATATCCAATTCTTTTTATACTTTAATACTCTAAGTCCTCAAAGTTCTTGACCACACAAATTCTAAGCATGAAATATTAATCCTTCATAAACCATATCTAAGCACAGCTCTCAATCTTGAGATGGCAGACCAAGTTGTAGTTAATGGCACGCCTAGTGACCAGATTTTTTTTTGCCCCTATCAGAGAATAGTGGTATGTAAATTCAGGCGCTCTGGGACCTGTAAACTGATCATCAAAATCAATCTGTCTTAAGTACCATCAACTGTAATTGTAGTAAGCTACACATAGATGTGTCACTGGGACATGCAGGGAGAAAGGAATTGCTAACCTCACAAAAAGAGATTTCTCCAATACAGTGTAAAAATATTAGGAAACCTGCAATTGGTCAGAATTACATAACCCAAATGTTGCTGGTTTATGTCTTCTTGAAAAGGTTATATAACCTTTAACAAGTGTCAGAGTATGCAGTGAGACAGCAAGGCCCTCCTGCCAGTGTCACTAATGGCAACATGCTTTTGCACTGAACGAAACCAAAGGTCCTATTTTCTTTTCATTGTCAGACCATTCTCTTCTTTGTTACTGAAAGCCCAAAGTATTGTTCGCTTAATGCTGTCTAGTTTTTGATAGTACTGAAGCCATTTGCTTAAAGCTGTCTAGTGCTTAATAGTAGTGAAGCCTGTAGGAGGCAGGGGCTAAGGCTGTAGCTGAGACCACCTAAGCCTCTTCAAACCAATTACACCTCGAAGTACTGTATTGTGAATGTGCTCTTTTTTTCCAAGATAGTTTGAAACCAGCAATATATGGCTAAAAAACAATTAAGCACAAAGTACATTACCTGCTATTTTTTTTTAAATAGCTACTTCACAAGTGTAAAAACAGAAGAGATGTTTAAAGATGTGAATACAACACATCTGAAAAGAACACAGTATACTGGTGATGGTTACCACTGTGTGTATTTACAGTATGATGTTTCAGTGTAGGCACTAGAAATACTCCCTGACTGGTAATGCAGGATATTTCTGCCTTATATAAAGAGCTAAAAACAATTAGAGCCAACATTACTGATACTTATTGTGTAATTGTTTATTTTAATGCGATTGATATTACTTGTTAATGCAATGCTCTTGACTTTTTTACTGTTTTGCATTGTTCTTTGCAAATTTAGCTATATAAGTGAATAAATTATAACAAAGAAAAGTTCCCCTAATGCCATCTTAGTACAATATTTACATCCTAAATTAAGCACTGGCACCCTTGGCATTTATGTATTGAGATTATGTGTGTATTATATAGGCAGATGTATATACAGTATGAAAATCCCATTTTTGGCACCACATCTAAAAAGGTTTGCTGCTGTATCTCTGTCTAATCTGTTTTCAATATTTTTTGCCACACCTTTCACATCTGCCAGGGTTTCGCTTAAACCAAAGTTGCTAATAAATTTACAAATGCACCAGAGACAAAAATAACATTATGGGCATTAGTTGTCAAAGGTTGTTCAACACGCAATGTTTTCCATCAGGCTACCAGCTTAAGACTCGCTGCCGGGCAGAAGAATCTCCTGAAGTCCCCAGCCCTATCAAAATGGATTAATGTTTGCACTACCACTCTAAGAAATGCCAGTCTACCAGCTGTGCCAGTTCTGTCAAATTAAAGAAAACTAATGGCTCTTGGGGAGTTTTAATCAACTGTGGACTTGGGAGACAGAAACTATATTATACAGGTAATTGTATTAAAAATGCTATCACAGATGGCCTAGCCTTGTACACTTTTGGAGCAACAGGGTTAGACAAAGTGATTCGAATATGTGCACTAGCTGCAAACTTTTAAATAACTGCAGTCTTCCACAGTGTCTAATCTATTCTTTTAGCAATCACCTACCAAAATTTCAGTTTCACACAATGTACATACTATATACAGTACATTAGTCCTACGTACTGTATAGGACTTATGAAAAATACTACACCAGTCTTTTTTAGCTCCATGCAATCCTCTATAAAATGTCATTAAAAACTACCATTAGTCAGATTAAAAAATAAATAAATTATTTGTTCATCTTATTAGAGAATCAGTGTAAAATGTCATCAGATTTCTGTTTGGTGTCTATTTGCAGGAATATGTTACCATTACTTGATGTAGCATACTTAAAATTCAAACCCAGTTGCTATACAGTATATCATATCTGGGTCAAAGGCTTGTTAGATGCTGCTTCCTGTTTCCATAATTAGATTGATTTGCAATGATAAACACCCGTGTATTGTGTTATCAGTGAATTATACATCTGACCATGCTATGCAATTACCAAATTAATAAAAACACAGTAAAAGTCTTAATTTATGGAAAATGCGGATTAATGGCATGGAATGAACTTACATTCTAAAGGGACGAAGTACTGTATGTGAAAATAACTCAAAGTTAAAGATTGCATTAAAAAACACAAATTACTATGGCACTGCTCCTCCCATATCTCAAAAAGCCATTCAACGTAAACAATAAGAAAATGAAATGAATTGGTAGATTCTAAATTCAGATAAAACCCCCAGTGCTCTTTTTTTCTTTCTTCTTGTGTGCAGTCAAGAGGAAGACCGGGGCAGACACAGCTGGCCAGCTGCTGCAGTCATAAACAGCAAACGAGCAATTGTACTCTTAAGGTGAAAGAGTGATCCTCTCCTTCATACACATTCAAGAGAAGGTGGTTTGCATTCGGATACATTCATCACAAAGACACACCTGCAGCACTCAAGCCACGTTCATCATCTTTACCTTCACAATTAAAACACAAATGGCAGCTACTCTGTTTTGACAGCACTCTCATACACAAGACGTCCTGTAGAAGATCGGGCCACTTACTGTATCTGATACTCTGGAAACATGCAGAAGTTCAAGTCATCAATACGTATCTAAAGCAAAGTGCAAATTTAATATCGTGATTTATGATTTCCCAAATCCAGTTTTTATAAACCAAACTGAAGATATGATTTTAAATTCCATTGAATAAAAAACTGGACAAAAGGAGAATGCAGAACTGTACAATCTGGACAAAACATGAATGCAGTCTGTCTCTTTTAACCTGTATATAACTTTATAGAATCAGATGGGACAGATAAATACTGTATACGTTTCAGAAAGAAATCTTTGCTTCCAGTTAGCTAACATTATATAATAGTCCAGAACTAATCCACTACAACATGACATGGGGGCAGGATCAGTAGATTGCTTAACTACAGTATGATGGGATTTCCCCATTCCAGTAATCCAGTGCAGTGATGTCATTTGGTACTGGAGCACGCAGACTAATCTTTTTCTTCTCTAGTGGCAAAACAAAAACAAAGCCTCGCAAATGAGACTGACAACTAAAAATACTCCTTTTTACTTGACAGAATTCTCCTTGGCTGCTTATGTGCTTTGTCTAAAATGCTAAATCTGTAAACAAAAAAGTCCCATAATAAGGATCTCCTATAACA